GGGCTACGCAGGGGCTTTGACCGTGATCGTCCGACAGACCTCTGACACCCAATCTGGAGGAGAGAACGCACCCCACTCGACCTTCACGGTCACGGTGGACTCTCTGGAACCCGGCTCATGAGTGGGAGGTCCTGAGGGGTGGAAGAACAGGTACCCCCCCCCCCCCACTGTTTAACCACCCTTGTCCCTCTCCTGGCCTAAATAAACTGAGAAGCCTGGGGCCAGGTGGTGTGTGACTTCTGGCTGTTYTGGGCCTGCCGGCTGGACTCTCGGGTGACAACTCGACCGTCCTCCTGGCCCCGACTCTCCTGAGTCCTATTGGTCAAGCTCTCCTTGTGGGGACGCCTGTGAGGAGGCTCATCCAATTCTGTTCTGTTCCGGACCCTTCCCACCTTCCCACTTCCTTCTTAGGGACCATTATGGGGGCCTCTTCTTCCCTCCCTGCAGACTCCCCCGTAAAATGCCTCCTGGCTAGTCTGGATCGGCGATCCCTCACTCCTGATGGAAATCCCAAGGCTCTCACGAAATTCTGCACACAAGATTGGCCTTTGATAAGGCCAATCASAATCAGACAAAGTCAGTGGCCACCAGGAGGACCCCTAGATCCCGCAGTTCTCAGCTCTGTTTAACTCCTGTGAGCGCTTGTTAAAATGGAGGGAGATCCCCCATGTTGAGGCCTTTTCTCTTCTTCCTTCTCCCTGACCTATGCTCTTACCTCAGTGACCCTACTGACCCTCCTGTTGATCCGGCAGATGAACCCCCTCCCTACCGACCTCCCCCGTCGGCTCCCCCTGGCACCTTTTGTCCCCCCCAAACTAGGTCCCGCTCCCTAGTCCCACAAACCATGGCCCCTTTAAGAAAGGCTGCTGGACCTGAGGGCATTATCCGGTACATGTCCCGTTCTCTATGAATGACCTCACGCAACTCGAGCGAAGGTTGGGCTCATTCACCACAGAAGACAGTTTCCATGGGTCCTCCAGGCTTGTAGCCTCACTCACCATGAGATGTACATGTTATTGGCTAATACTCTCCTTCTTGAGGAATGTACCAGAGTCTAGGAACTTGCCAGAGCCCATGCGGATGAAACTCACCCAGTTAATCCCAGTCACCCTCCGGGGCCA